TTTATCTGAGATGTCGTTTGCAAACATCTTCTTCCATTCTGTCAGTTGTCTTTTGGTTTTGTTAACTGTTTCCTTTGCTGTGCAAAAGCTTTTGATCTTGATAAAATCCCAATAGTTCATTTTTGTCCTTGCTTCCCTTGCCTTTGGCGATGTTCCTAGGAAGTTGTTGCTGTGGCTGAGGTTGAAGAGGTTGCTGCCTGTGTTCTCCTCAGAATTTTGATGGGTTCCTTTTTCACATTGAGGTCCTTCAACCATTTTGAGTCTATTTTCATGTGTGGTGTAAGGAAATGGTCCAATTTCATTTTTCTGCATGTGGCTGTCCAATTTTCCCAACACCATTTATTGAAAGGCTGTCTTTTTTCCATTTGGACATTCTTTCCTGCTTTGTCAAAGATTAGTTGACCATAGAGTTGAGGGTCTATTTCTGGGTTCTCTATTCTGTTCCATTGATCTATGTGTCTGTTATTGTGCCAGTACCATGCTGTCTTGATGATGACAGCTTTGTAATAGAGCTTGAAGTCCGGAATTGTGATGCCACCGACTTTGGCTTTCTTTTTCAATATTCCTTTGGCTATTCACAGTCTTTTCTGGTTCCACATAAATTTTAGGATTATTTGTTCCATTTCTTTGAAAAAAATGGATGGTATTTTGATAAGAATTGCATTAAATGTGTAGATTGCTTTAGGTAGCATAGACATTTTCACAATATTTATTCTTCCAATCCAGGAGCATGGAACATTTATCCATTTCTTTGTGTCTTCCTCAATTTCTTTCATGAGTACTTTATAGTTTTCTGAGTATAGATTCTTAGCCTCTTTGGTTAGGTTTATTCCTAGGTATCTTATAGTTTTGGGTGCAATTGTAAATGGGACTGACTCCTTAATTTCTCTTTCTTCTGTCTTGTCGTTGGTGTAGAGAAATGCAACTGATTTCTGCGCATTGATTTTATATCCTGACACTTTACTAAATTCCTGTACAAGTTCTAGCAGTTTTGGAGTGGAGTCTTTTGGGTTTTCCACAACATGTAATATTTTATGATTTTCCATAGAGAATATTGCATTATTCTCATCTTAAAATGTTATCAGAGTATTTAACCCATATTTGCAAAATAAGCCGAGATCCACCAAGACTAGGAGGCTTGATACAACATAAGGGTCATTGCAGAGACAAAATATATCCCTTGGCATATTAGTGTCCTTTGATGTATTATTTTAAGTTTATAACTCTCTCAACCATATATTTCCATTCATTCTGGCAGAAATAAAATTCCGCTATTTTTCTTTATCCTGTATTTACTCTATATCTCAGTTATGTATGCTGGAAGGTTCATTAGGTACAAGACATTCAGATCATACCAGGATTCATTATACACTTGCCTACCCACTTTTTTTTTCTATTAAATAAGATTTGCTTCAGAATTATAGCTAATTAATTAAATTTTGTGGTATTACCACTGTGGAGTACTTGGACTGTCCTGCAAAATGCATATTTTAGGCTTCAGCTATTATCATATGAGGCTGTTGCTGTATCTTTATATACGAATACTAAGAAATAGAGATAAGCACATGAACTTAAACCTAAGACCCAAAATAGCAGAATGTAACATTTCTTTCTGCTTGTTACATTCTACTCTTAGAGTTTTTAAACTCAGTTCTTGGCAAGATTCCTCCTTGCTCAAGATCATACAATCCATTTTTGTTTGTTTGGTTTTAAATATTAGGCAGTTGGTAAACAGTGGGTGGTCCATAAGAAGAGTAACTTCTTGGAAAGGAGACTATTTTTCACCAGGCTTTTTCAATAGACCACAGTGTTTTAAGATTCTGTTCTCACATTTGAATTTCTTAGTCTGCCAGGTTCTACTCTGAAAAATCATCCCATATTCTACTCTGAAAAACTATCTACAAATATCATATTTTACTTGTCTGAGGTAGTAGCTCTTGAATGGAAATGGTGGTGGAAGAGGGGAAGCACATCATGGCCATCAGTGGTTTTCTTTGGAACTGCATATGCAACACTTTGCTCTCTCTAAAGTCTAACAAATGTCTTCCAGTCAAGCAGTATTACAGTAAAGGAGGGCTAGAAGCAGCAAGTAGGTCACCTATCAGATACAGGGTCGAACAGGAAGGCAGGGTGGTTTGATATCGTGATAACAACTATAACAACTTACCTGAAACAAAACAAAACTCGTCTTAAATAAGTCTGGTAATGCCTGTGTGTTCTTTATCTTAACATCTTAATGTATGTATATATAATATATATGATATATATCATATAAAGTATAAAATTTATATTTATACATTTACATATTAGAAATGAATTGGGTAGGGGTGCCTGGGTGGCTCAGTTGGTTAAGTGACTGCCTTTGGCTGAGGTCATGATCCTGGGGTCCTGGGATCGAGTCCCTCATTAGGTTCCCTGTTCAGCAGGGAGTCTGCTTATCCCACTGACCTCTCTCCTCCCATGCTCTCTCTCTCATTCTCTCTCTCTCTCTCTTTCAAATAAATAAATAAAATCTTAAAAAAAGAAATGAGTTGGATAAAGTAAAAATTATATATAAATATATATAATTACAAGTATCAATATATACATGTATATATTTTTTGTATTGGAAATGAACTGAGTAAAGATCTGGTCAGCAAAAGAACAAGAAAGCATGCATATAAATTAAACCCAGGAATTTATCTAGAAAATATAAACATTCTAAGGCAGGCAGAAATCAGGTACCTTAAGCTGTGTGTGACCAAGTCACTAAGATGGCAGAGATGAAGAATCTTAGTTAAGAGACTTGGAAATGAAACATCAAGGATCTGAGCTAAAGAGAGGAAAATAATAGAGTGTCAGTACTAATGCATGAATAAACAGCAGTAGCAAAAAACTGGAGCTTGTCTTTTCTGCCACCATTTCCTGCCGAGGGTCAGAAGAAATCCTAGATTGTAGTTAAATCTAAATTAACAACAGAACAGCATTTGGCAAGTTAATAGTGGAAAGTATAGATAAAATGTGGATGCATATTCAGTTTATGATTTGGATGTTATACTTCATGTTGGTGCTCAATATTATATTTGTTAGTTATATATGAAACTTTGTTTGAAAAATGACACTATCTAAGGTACATGGGTTTAAGACAACTGCTCTGCAGTCTTTCCCTAAAACCATTGTCTATAGGTTGGAATTTGGTACAAAATTTATCCATAATTGTACTTACAACAAATCAGGAAGGTCTTAGTTATTTCACTATGAATAAATATAAATATAAATATAAATATAAATATAAATATAAATTAGTTCTATACTTGGACACAAGAGCAGAAAATGAGTAAGATATTTCAATATGCATATATGCTGGATGATTCATGATTGTAAACTTAATTATACAGATACTCATTCATTCATTCATTCATTCATTCATTTGGTTAGTCATTCAACTAGTCAGTTGGTTGAAACATTCTTATTGAGTTCCTTCTAAATGCAGACACTGCCCTAGAGGCTGGAGTAACTTGGTGACAAGAGAGACAAGGTCCCTGTAGTAGTAAAGCTTAATGAGATCTAAGTGAAAAATTCTGTGGCTAAAATAATTAAAAGGTATCCTGAGAGATGAAATAAAATACATGGAGGAGATATGTTATGGGTTTAAAAAGTAAAGCAATAAATGTATTTTATAAAAATAAAGAATAGAGAGGAAAATAGCATTCTTTAGAAACATCACTCAGTGTAACCACTGATTTTTTAATGTATATTTGCTCTATATTGTTTAACAATTCCATTCCCTTCTTTTTAATTTTATTTCTTTTCAGTGTTCCAGCATTCATTGTTTATGCACCACACCCAGTGCTCCATGCGAAACGTGCCCTCCATAATACCCACTACCAGGCTCACCCATCCCCCCACCCCTCTCCTCCAAAACCCTCAGTTTGTTTCTCAGAGTCCATAGTCTCTCGTGGTTTGTCTCCCCTTCCAATTTCCCCCAACTCACTTCTCTCCATCTCCCAGTGTCCTCCGTGTTATTCCTTATGCTCCACAAATAAGCAAAACCATATGATAATCGACTCTCTCTTCTTGACTTATTTCACTCAGCATAATCTCCTCCAGTCCCGTCCATGTTGATACAAAAGTTGGGTATTCATCCTTTCTGATGGAGGCATAATACTCCATAGTGTATATGGACCACATCTTCTTTATCCATTCATCTGTTGAAGGACATCTTGGTTCTTTCACAGTTTGGCAACTGTGGCCATTGCTGCTATGAACATTGGGTACAGATGTCCCTTCTTTTCACTACATCAGTATCTTTGGGGTAAATACCCAGTAGTGCAATTGCAGGGTCATAAGGAAGCTCTCTTTTTAATTTCTTAAGGAATCTCCACACTGTTTTCCAAAGTGGCTGCATCATATTGCATTCCCACCAACCGTGTAAGAGGGTTCCCCTTTCTCCACACCCTCTCCAACACATGTTGTTTACTGTCTTGTTAATTTTGGCCTTTCTAACTGGCGTAAGGTGGTATCTCAGTGTAGTTTTGATCTGAATCTCCCTGATGGCTAATGATGATGAATATTTTTCATGTGTCTATTAGGTATTTGTATGTCTTCTTTGGAGAAGTGTCTGTTCATGTGTTCTGCACGTTTTTTGACGTGATTATCTGTTTTGTGTGTGTTGAATTTGAGGGGTCCATTCCCTTTTAAAGATAGAATCATTTTGTATAAATCATGTCTGACCTGGTTGACTTAATGAACGATGACTGTCTTTTAGAGCTGATACATTGTTTTTTACCATATTCCACAATGCTACACAGCATTTCATTATATGGCTGCTACCATAATATTTTCAATTATATCCTAAGCATTGGACATTTTGAGTGTTTCACTTTTTGAAAGATACACAATTTTGATAGCATGTCTTTGCTAGTGAATCTAGATATTATCATTTTCTTGTTGCAGATTATCGGATCTCAGAAAACACAATGTTTGTGATATTTATCTTTTATTATTTTTTTTCCCTTAAGGTGTTATTAGAACAGCTTTGCCAAACATGGACAGGGAAGTCAAAGAACAATACCAAGTCCTCATCCAAGCCAAGGATATGGGCGGACAACTAGGAGGGTTAGCTGGAACGACAATTGTTAACATCACCCTCACGGATGTCAATGACAATCCACCTCGATTCCCTAAAAGTATGTTGAGTTTAAATCTTTTCTGTTGAGTTTAAATTAGCGCAGCTTAAAAAAAATTCTTTCATTTCATTGAGTGTTACAGAAATTGTAATAATTTTTCAGACGTTTTTGGTCTTAAGGAAACAGAACCCAAGAGATAAAACTTAAATGACCTAAGAGCTTCATTTTCCATTAGAATCATGCTCCATATGACTTTAATATAAAATAATACAAGTCAGTAATTGAACAATGAGTCCTATATTATTGATTCGCAGTCAAGTAAAATATTCACAATAAGTTGGAATCTTGCTCTAATTTTTATTTGAAAAAGTAAAGTAAATATGAAAATTCCATTGTAATTTAATACTCATATTTATGACACATATGACACCATATTATTTGGTCTATCATGCAATTAGCATAAGAATTCTCTACTTTTTCTTTAGCAATTGTATGTGTTGAATCATTTCCATTTACTTCTATGTAAGTATCAGATAATAATTCAGTGATGCTATTTACATTACTTTAGTCTTATTTTATTTTAGTTTTGCAATAGGTGAAAATTGTTACAGTTTCTATGATAATAGAAAGGTTCACACCTATATTTTCTCTGTAACTCTGTGCTTCTTACTGAAAATGAATACTTCTCACTTGTGTTATATCTCGTTTTCTTTTGCAGTATTACATTTAACACCAATCAGTACCTGCTCGATTTCTGGTACATTTTCAAGGATTAGTTCAATGTTCCTAGGACTTAGAATACAGAAACTGAAAGTCTCTATCACTGGTTACACAAGGAACTTGATTAAATCTCTAGATACTCATTTGCGTGAATAGTTTAGGGAACCAAAACAAAATGATTTTCCTTTTTCGATCTCAGTAGGAGACTTTGAGTGCATCTACTAAAGTATAAAAAACTGAGAATATTTAACTAAATGGATATTTTATTCCTTTAGCTGTATGGTTTTTCATATTTTGCTACTTTATCATTTTCTCTTAAAGTCATCAACATGTATTTTCTTATGGAAATATTTTACTTAGTGATCAGAAAGTCTAATGGCCAAATGTTATGAGGAGCAATTAGAAATCATCATACTTAAGCCAATGAAATATATGTGAAAAATGGCTAATATAAATATGCTATAATTAATAACCCAAAGAGTCTTATGGACATACTTCTTTACTTAGCTATTAAGGAAACAGATAAAAGATAAGTAAATATTAAAAGGGAAAAAAGAAATCATGCATTTGATTCTCTAACATTTGACATTAATAAAGAATATGTTCCCAACTCAAAAAATACTTATTATTTTTATTTTTATGTCTTTTATTTCTTTATTTTTTTTACTTCTTATGTATGACAAGCTGTAATAGCCAAGGGAGGGGGATAGTTTGGGAAACTACTCTACTTTTATATAAAAGATGTCACTGTGAACATGGGTCTGTTTTGCATTTTGCGCATACAAAATACATTAGTCTAGGGTATAGGAAATAGCAGAGATACTACTACATAGTGCCAATATTCTTAGTCACAAGGATGATAGTGAGGCTTTTCAGATGAGGGATATAAAACCCAGCCAGAGGAAAGATACAATTTCTGTTGGTATAGATGAAGAGTGGTTGGTAAAAATTGGGCAGAGATCCAGACACATAGTCTGCTGTACAGGGAAATGAAAATATCTCCATGAGAATGAGGCTAGATTATACTTAGGAAGACAAGATGTTGTGCTCAGGTCCTGCTGAGACAGGAAGATAACTTCTAGATCTTACTTACCTAGTGAAAGCAGAATCTAGATAAAGCAATAGTCTTGTTTGGGATTTATTCACAGTTGAATAGTAGGAGTGAGGGTAACTAAATGAGAACCACCAGGAAGGAATGTGGGGGATAAGCTCAGTGGAATTTCTGGGACATTTACATGCTCTGTCAGCAACTTTATCATTGTCTTATTCCCTATTTACCACAACAGTCTGAGTTCTTTATTTTCCACATTTTACCATTAAGAAAACTGAAAAAAGAGAGGTTGAATACTTGCTTCAGATCAACAAACTAAAGTATTTTTTTTTTGCTCTGAAGTTCAAGTTCCTTCTAGTTTAACATAGCATTAAAATGAAGAGTTATTCTTTTCTTCTACCTGCCACTCTAAAACCCTACTTTTTAGAACGCCTGCAAAAATAGTCACCTGACGTATGTGGAGTTGTCACCATTCATAAACAGAGAAATGAGAGGCCAAAAGAAATATATTGAGCAGTTCACCATGATCAAATTATTCTCTACTTGTATTACATGTATTTTGAACTATAGTCTGAAAGTGTAAGAGGTGAGAGAGAGTTTTGAATCATGAGAGAGGGTTTTCACATTTTTGCATAAATAAAAAATTAATCCCCTTGCAATTTCACATGCCATTGTGTCAAGCCCTTTTTAGTGTGTTGTCATTTTGAATTACATCCTTCAGAGGAAAAGACAGCATACATTTATAAACAGAAAAGCCATTTCTTTAGAAGCCAATGCTCTTCCTGCAAGAAAATTTCTCACGTGATGCAATTAAACTACAAATGTGATGTAACATTACAAGCTGAAATGATACTTTTCAATGTAAAAGTAAAATATATACACATATTTTATACATAAATAACTTATAAGAGAATCTGCACAACTAGCTCTATTTCATGCTTATTAAGTGATTATTCTGAAAACAAAACAAAACCAGAAAACTTCCTTCAGATGAATTTCATGAGCTCTAATTTCTCATTGCTTAAAAATGCACAGAATAATTTCTTAAAATTTACTAATCATAATTTGTTTCGGCTTTGTGTGTGTACACATATGCATATGTGACACTGTTAAGTATCCATTTCCTTCTCTAAATCCGTTAGAGAGGAAAAAAAAAAGAAAACTGAGTGGCACATGCATTCGTATCAGACATGTGTAACCAGTTTACTGTTTTATTGTTACAAAATAGATGGTTCCTGAGACATCAGAACTTCCTGCCAATATGATAAGATGATGGTGACAATGATATTGACTAGTAAATTGCTGTGTGTCATGTACTATGTCAAGTGATCCGCATTTCCCCCTCTTACTTTCATAATGACTATATAGTATTTTCTCAATTTTAGAAATAAAGTAGCAAATCATATTATTAAGAAAGGTTAATGATAGAAGTAAAGTTTTTAAAGGTTAAAAACTTTTCTAAGATCATTCAGCCACTGGGTGAGAGAACTAAGCCTTAATCTTAGGTGGTGACTTCAGGTCTCTCTTTGTCATTCTCCCTCTTGATGGGGAATTTGTTTTTGATGCCTGTGTTTGGCCTAAAATGTCCATAACCCAGAAAACCCAGATAACCTAGAAAACTGTCCACAAACACAGGGAAGTGAAAATAATACCCAACACGTGAAAAGAGCTATGTCTGGAGTCCTATAAAGGCAAAAGACTTTATTTGCAAAATCTTTTCCCCATAGTTATAAAGCTACCATCTACCACAGTCAAGGATATCTGCAGAGGATCTCCATCTGTTAAAATAATCTACAGAAAAATGCTGATGGTTTCCATTACTTGAATATTAAATGACAAAACCATCTAACAAGCTGTTCTAAATAATGCATTATGAGATCAAATCAATTAAGTGATGTGGTTAATTCACATTAGACAAAATGTTCATGCGTGTGTCTCCCACTTTGTCTCTTTCTTCTGTGTGATATATTTGTAATGAAAATGAGAACAACTTGAATGAAAGTACTTCATACACAACATTGGATGAAGTTTACAGGAAATATAAGAAAATGCAAGGAAATATAGGAAAGATAAGGAAGAGTTTGCCTCTTTTGTTTCTTTTTCAATATACTAAGAGAAAGAGAACTGCTCGTAAAGTAAACAAGTTCAAATGTAGAAAATAGGACAGTAATAATTGTTCTAAGAAAATTTCTTAGAAATAAGTAAAATATTTTAAAGTAATTCTGTTTTAATAAAATACCTACCAAGCATGTTTATATTGACTGTTGCTAGCTATAAGGATTTTGATTCAGTTAAAAGTCAATAATACATTATTTGCACAATAATTACCATATAAAACATATAGTTGTAACCACATTATATAGCTCATTAATTTAATGAATAAGACATTTGTAAATATTAGACTTTACCCCAGGAAAAGTTGTTATTGTCCTGAAATTAACATAAACATAAGTAAAATTAAAGCATTAAATGCATCAGCCAGAATGTCTACTGCATAATAAGCAATGTTTGATCTACACAAACTACCAAAGACCACAGACCCAAGCATAAAAAATATGTGTATGCATCTATATATTATTTTTTCTATTACACATTTAAGTTATAGAAAGACCACAGAATTCTCAGGTTAATTATTGAATTACTAAATAAATAATTACTGATAACTATATATTTATTTAGTGTATAATATTGATGTGTTTAATTAAAATATATATTTCATCTTTTCATCTTCTCATTACTGTTTTGGCATCCAGGTTAAGATTGGCTTCCTATTATATTGAAATGGATAATATAGAATTGTTTGTTTTTAAATCAATATTTATTATAATATACAATTTATAAAGATTTTCATCAGAATCAACATGAACCCAATCACAACAAGATGGGGGCACAAAGTCCATTTCTCTTTATGGTTTAGCATCCTTAATTGGAAAACTATAAGCTTTTAGACTGAAATTTTCTTGGTAAAAAATATAATAAATCTTTATGAATAAGACCTGTAGGCTAATTGAATTTTGACAGTTAACTCAGCCATAGAAAATATACCATTACATTCTTCCAGGTGCCAAGGGGATTGTCATGGGAATGACTGTGATAAACCAGTTCTATGATTTAAGTTTATGTATACAAATTGTATACAATCTGAGTGTTACATGTAACTAGTATGAAAGTTCATGACTTTGCATATATTTTGTAGATGTAAATTTTTGTAGAGCTATATCAATTTATATATATAAATTACATATATATGTATATATATGACTTTATCTATCTACCAATAGATAGATAT